AACGCTCACGACGCGCTGCTTCCAATGCCTCTACTGCTTTAAGTGCGAATGTAGCATAAGGATTAATCACGATTAATCCGATTGTTTCATTCATAATCACATCCCTTTGCTTGTGCCACCCCCCAAAAAAGTCCAGCTACAAGCAGCGCTGCCATTTTTGTTATCCTTCAGGCTTCTGAGTCTTGTTGACACGTTATCATACATGTCTCGCATTTCACAGGTCCGAAACAATTCTGCATCTGCTGGTTCCTGGCTAGATTTATTTTCAGTTTGTGACAATTCATCTTGCTTGTAAGGTAACTGGATTCCCACCACTATGACACTTCCTAGTCTACTTCATACGCATGAGGCTTATTAATTCCAGATAAAAAATGACAAAGTGGTCAGAAAAGGAGAAAAACAACCGAGGGATTAATTAACAGCAGCGTTTTTGAACTGTCTTTGATATCCTGTGTGTTTATTTGTAATAGAGGTTGATTTCAGGGGTCACCATACCCTATTTCATGGGTACTGAGTCATAGGAAGGGCTACCGATAGTGCCTATAACCAGTGGAGTCTGCATTCATCTAAACTTGACACATAATAATCATATGTTTATCGCTTCTTTCAATTTCTAATTTTCTTTTCGATGTTACCATTTTAAAAACCAATTTAAATACTCAAATGCACTACAGGATTAATATGATGAGTAACTATAGTAACACATTCAACCTCCACTACCTGCAGCACAGCCAGGCTGTTGAGTTAAAAAATTTGCAAACGGCTCCATTAAATTTGCGCAGAAATGTTTGAAATAGTGGAAACATTTGTATCTTGTTCAATGTGACATTGTTCAATTTTTAAACACGCATGTGTACAAAACTTTAACATTTATTTGAAGGTAATATTTAATGGGATTTGTTGAAGTAAATTATAAATAAGTCAGTTGCATTTCCTGCACATGTCTTTATTTCTGATGGAGGAGCCGGAGCAATTATCATTATCATAGTAAAACTGCCCATTTTATCATGATATCGAACATTAAACTCAATTAATTGGATGTTGTTGATCGACTGTAGATCAATTTATTGATAACTTGCATCCGAAGTGTGAACGCATAATGTGGACCCATAAGCAGCTGTACCAAGGCATTAAATGTGTGGATTTTTCAGTTGCTTAAATACTGCTCTGAGTCAACAAATGGCCTGTTTTGTAGTCTACAAACTGCAGTTAACAAATAGATAGTTCATCATTTCAGTTTTCGTTATGCATTTCAAAGATTACAAGACACGAGGAAACTGTAGCACAATTCCCCAGTAGAAGGACAAGGTGTTGGACTACTGGGTAGATGCCAAGAAGGAAACTAAAACTCTGAAAAGAAGTGGTCATGGCAAACAGGAAGTTTCTTTGTCAAATTTTACAGTAAAAGAAGTCCAGCCTGACTTCCTTATAATGTGAAGATGTTCATAAGAAAATTTTTCAGACGGTACTTCCCCATTCTGCTTCAATTTTGCGGCTGAAACGTAAAGGAAGACAATTTTCAAAAGTGCATTTACATAATATTTAAAGGTTCTGTTATTTATATCTTAATAATATAGTTTTGTCCCTCCATACACAAAGCATTATAGAGATATTTTACAAGAGTTTGCGTTCCAGGTTACCATTTTAAGTTATTAAACCGTATAGAGATAGATCATGTATATTTAAGCGCCCAAGAAAAGGAGGTAGAGTTTACTTTTACCAATACTTAAAGGTGCTGTAGGAGATCTTGGAAAAACTGTTCCAGCAAGCTATATTTTTGAAAATATACAACCTTCAGGCCACCCCCAAAACCACGTCTTCAAAACACATAAAAGTGCATGCTGTCCGTCGGGGTGTTCGGATGTTTCCGAGATCGAGAACAAAACAAACCGAGACCCAGTGCTCGTGACACGAGCCAACAACAACATAACAGTGGCTAGGTTCCAGCCATGGTGTCCTCTTCTCCGTCTCATACTTCGTTCATGTGTCATGGTACACGCACAGGGGGGAGGGAGATGCAGACGACCCTGACTGACGTGTCAGGAACCAATAGTGGACCACTATTGGTGGGTGCTACTCATTGATTTCACACTGTAGCAGGGACCTTTTTTTATTGGTTTCGTTTCCAGACCTTCTATTTCACTGCTTGCTACCGCTGTGGGGAGATCTTCAAGCCACATGGTAGAAAATGCATCAGAAAAGATCTCCTACTGCACCTTTAAGTCAAATATGATACCTATAATTGTAATAATTAAACTTTACTGATCCCACATTGGAGAAGTTCACTCTCTGCATTTAACCCATCTCCTTTGGAAGCAGTGGGCTTCAATCGTGGGGCGCCCCATGTTTGAAGTTTGAAGATGTTTCGCTTCCCATCCAGGAAGCTTTTTCTGGAACGACTATGACCTGGTGTTGGAATAATTATGTATAAGATACTTAATGTTTGTTCTTATGATGTATAATGTGTGACTTATTACTGTTCCATAGAGGTGTTGCACAAGCAGTATAGGTCAACTATCAGGAAGTATTGCTCAAGCTTAACCAAACCAGGAGGTTCTCGGACCATTTTACCGCAAGACATTTAAATGCAAATTAACCTGTTCACTGAGGCTGCAAATTTAATTGTATTTCTTGTTTCCTATTGCTTTAGCACAATCTCAGCTTGTGTAACTAGGACCCCCCTTCTGACTTTAATAAATAGCGAGGGGAAAGCTGAAGACCGGCAGAGTGGGTTGGAGATTTGTAAACTCCGCAGTCTCGTCCTACTCTCCTTGCGAGTAAAACTAAATTAATTGTCTCTGTGCCTTCTTTCTTTCCCTGTATGCATGTATGATGTTTTAGGTGCTTAGACCTGACACCTGGATGACTGATAATCTTCCCCAGCAGACTGCACTCCAGTTTGGGAAAGACACCCTCGGCATAATGAGTATTAGAAATTTGAAAAAGCTTCCTGAATGGGAAGCGAAACGTCTTCAAACTTTGAAACAAAGTAGATTGTTTTTAATTTTGTTTGTTTTTTGGAATGACTATGACCCAGATGACTGTGAAACTTCACCAGCGGCGGCCTAGTGGTTAGTGCTAGGCCGCCGCTACCTCGTCAGGTTACACCTTACTATGCAAGGTGTAACTTGACACACACTGAGAAGAGATGACAGGGACAGCAAGATGTATTTTTAGAGGCTTTTAAAGGCAGCCATATCAATAATGTGCATACAACTAAATAATGCCAACAAGTTTGAGAACTTCTAATATTTCAATTGGAGTTCACTTCTATCTCTGAATAAACCCAAAAGCAACTAGTAAGGTCTAAGAGGTGCTTTACAGTGACACTCTATTTGATTCAGTTCAATAATACTTCCATCATTGTTAAGGAAATAACAACACAGACAGAAATGACTAAATCTACAGGCTTATGTAATCTGAGTCGTGTTAAAACTAACCTCAAAAACTTTATTCAGCTGGAGTTTCCACTGTGAGTCTGGAAGCAGCTGATCCAATCCCAGTTACCCAATCCCAACTCTATCATCTCACATTGGATTTTCCAGCTTTTCAGCTGTTTTTACAGGGGTGGTGTGATCTGAGCAGCTGTTACAGCCTTTGCCTTGTGCTACAATTCATTTAACTTAAGGGGGATAAAGAGGGTTTCAAAGTTATGGGAGATAAAACATTAGATAGAAACATACACACTGGAGAACAGAGAAGCTATCTTTGCTAACCCACTCACTGCAAAGACAGTTCTTCTTAACACCCAATACAGGGTGCTTAAAAATATTTTAATAGATTTCTATATCGTTATAAACGCCATGTTAGTTAGCTGACCTCTGTTAGCATGTTTGTCTCTGTTAGCTTGGAGGCTAACCTGAGCGAAGGCTTCTTCTGCGGCCTACACTGGCTTCCGCTTTACATAAACGGGGGGCGGAGAGTTAAGTAGACTTCAAGAAGTTTTAAAATAGGCTATAATCAGTGAAATGTGCTGTGGTACCTTGACGCAGTCAATGGGGTACATGAGGCAGTGCTCCATGATTCCAGCCACAGCTCCAGCCAGCATGTGTGTGCTGCTAGCTGCTCCCTGAGGCAGTCCTTCATAGTCCATGTCAGGCTCCACACAGGCCGGAGCCTCGGTCGTTGTTGTTCGGTGCAAAACCGAAGCAAAGTCCGGTTCGCCCGTTACTCTCGGTGAAAAAGGCCCGACGAACCCCCCCGTGGCGTCCAACACACTGCTGCCAAGAATCCCAAACCCCGTGGCGGCTATGGTGCCCGTGACCCGCCTTTCGACGGTCGGTGATTCCAGGGTCGAATGCGAGGAGACAAAACCGTCCATTTCCATGATGTAGAGGAGGGGATAGATGGGTTTAAACCGAGAATACCGACCGGCCTGCTGATGTAATCTTCCCGGTTGTCTACCTCGTCCCCCCCTCCGGGCCGGCTAAGCCAAATTCTTGGCGGCACTGGCAGCTGTAGGGATGCGGGAATTGCGTTATTGACGGGAACGGGCAGCAATGGGCAAGAATGAATTTCATTGGATTAGCTTGCTGCCACGTTTTGCATACCGTAATCTGATTGGTTGAGGAGGCGGAGTTCCGGGGAAGTGGGCGTGTTCGGTTTTGTAACAGTGGGAAGTCACGGTTTGACACCGGACGTCCCAGATGATAACCCCTAATATGAATAATTAATGATTCAGATAACTGGAAATGTTTTAAATATCTAAAACGGCCAATTTAACCAAAAACAAAAGAAATACATAATAAATAAATAATAGATTTTGTCCAACAGCAGCTTTTGGCAGAACCTGCATATCTGGTTAAGTAACAAAATAGTTAATATAACACCCTTTGAGATACATCAAATATTAACATACAAGAATGACATTGCGAAGGATTTATCCAACATGGTCAATATTGTCATGAGTATAGGAAGATATCATATACATTTACGTAAATGTAAAAATCAAAAACCGTCATTAAAAAAATGAACTCAAAATCTTCTATTCATCTTTATCTCTGTTAGCTGACAAATATGAACATATACAAAAACTACAAAGTAACATGTCAAATTTTCTGTTTTTGTTTGACACAACAAAATGATAATGTTTTCAATGCCGCCTTAACAGTCCTGGGAAAACATTATTACGCATAATCCAATCCAAAGAGTTCGATTTGAAAGATTTATAGTTTGATTTTAAATCTAAGGGTTGATTGTAATGTCAAATTTAGAGATGCATGAGATAAAGAGCTGGGAATCCAGTTAAAACAAAATATTTAAGATCATGCCATTAACAGAATTTGATCTCCCTCATCCTGTGCTCGTCTTAGTTTGATCCAGTTTAAAGTTTTATATAGGATTCACTTCTTAAAATCTTGGCTTTCTCAGATTTACCCGAATGTTGTGGATATATGTGACAAATGCAAAGGTTCCCCAATGCGGTTTGGGCCACATGTTCTTTCTCTGTCCCGAATTATATAAGTTTTGGTCTAACTACTTCTCAATTATGTCTTCGGTCTTGAAATTGAATTTGTAACCTTGTCAATCGATTGCTGTATTTGGTATTCATAACCTTACTTTAGTTCTAAGCTGTGCTAAAAAAGAGATTGTTACATACATATATCTTTGTTTTGTTATTTCCTCTTTTGGCTCCAAAAAAATGCTAAAGTTAACATGATGCAAGGAACTGTCTTGTTGCAAAATGAGTCTCTCTTTTACTTTAATTTAATTCTCTTTTAAGTTTTTTCTGTTTCCATTGGTTCCATGTGGTCAACTTTGATATACCAAATTTGATATTTTGGAGTTGAGAATGCTGATGTTACCAGAGAGGCAGGAAGCTCAGAATCTATAGGCTGATAGAGCTCAAGCACCTATTGAAACAAAAGATCAGATATCTGGAAGTTAAAAATAATTTCTCTCATTGACAGAGTTTTGTCTGAGCTTCTTATTTGTATAGATATATTTTATATTTACAAAAAAATCTTTGCATGTGTTCTAATTCAGCCGCAATGTGACGGACAGGAGAGCATTTCTAGAATCCCTCAAGAATCAGTTTTAGAATCTCTTCAGCAACAGGATGGTGAAAAGAAGGTTGGAGGCAAAGTGCCACCAAAACTCTCCTGTATAGAACATTTTCTGAGAACTGACTGTGTAATAAGATCCCAATCAGAATGACGACTAGAACGGCTTTAAAGAAATATAGTAACAATATTTTTGACTTATACAGCTGCAAAATGTATAGTTTTTTAATATTTTATTTCAGTTAGTCTCACAGCAAATGGTTTTTGTTCACAGGGCTCCCTGAAAATAGATCAGTTTAGTTTTCTGCCCTCAGTCTTTATTTCTGTTTTTAATGTTCATCAACTTGTGTAGACCTAAAATGAACCAAAAACACATATTTTCTAGACTGGAGATATTTTAAACCAATGAAGTTCACTTTGCCCCCCTGTCTGGCTATCCGTTAGCTTTAGCTTCAGAGATTTAGACCTCAGGATGATGTTATAAATGTGTCTACTCAAGATACGATAGTGGCAGCGACCCTGCCAGGAAAACCTGCACTATCCCTTTAAAAGCGCGTGCGTAGTTTATGGACCAGTGGAGATCGTGGTTATTCTTGCAAGAGGATGTTTTCTTTAGTTAAAGTGTGAAAATAAATAAAACCTCGAAGCAAAAGAAATTTAAGTGGCTGTATAACTTGACAATTATATCAAGAAAAACAGAAAACATATATTCAATATTTGCTTTTTATGCAGAATACTGAGTTTTACTGTAGCACTTGAAGGCATCATAAGCATTGGATGACGTCGCCAATGGGTTGGTCCGTCACCGGAAGCTCCGTACATATTTCCGTCTTTTCCTCCTCCTCACTTCGACGTCTGGTTTTAAAACAATTTTTATACCGAAGAGGACTTTTTTTATGACATTTTATAATACTTTTATGGAAGATGGAGGATATTTTACAGTTGTAATTTACCGTCAAGTTCAGCGGAAGGCTCCTGTAGGTAGGTCAGTACCGCTGGACGCCGCTCACAACAGCTGCTTTTAAACGCACCGTTAGCCGGGCTGTGCCCAATTAGTAAAAATATAAAGAGGACAAATGAATAATTATTATTTTTGCAGTTTCCTGTAATGATTTGTTTTATCTTCTTTATTTAACAGCTGTTGTAAAAATACCCCGCAGATAAGCCGGATAGCTCTCCTCTATGGGGCCCTTTACCCAGGAACGGAAAGCTAAAGCAAGACTAGCAGCCATGTCTAACACATCCGCATTAATACCGGCAATAATCAGGACATTTTATATTATATCACTGAGTGATTCTAGAAAGTTAACAGCATGTTTGTGTCAGAGCTGGATCAAATATTAACATTGTTTATTTGGGTTGATTTATCTAGAAAATGTCACAGTCCAAAATGTCAGTGCATTCACTACTTTGAAAATGTTT